ATTTCTGTATTTGAATTTGATTTGAGATCAAATATTTGATCAAATCAAATCAAATCAAATCAAATTGCGGAACCCTATATACTAGCTCTGGACTTTGCAACTTCTGAAACTTTTCATCAGAGTGGCAACTTCTTTGTTCATTGTCATTTTTGGCATATCCCATAATGTGATAGTTTGATCTATACTTCTTCTGCTCTCTGTATCTTCTCTATATGGGTTTTCTGCATCTTCTGCTAATAGATGGGAATTTTTGCCAAAGCCTTCTTGCTCCTCTTCTTCTCTGATCTTCCCTTTTGACTTTCCCCCTAAGATTGGACCCATGGCCTTCATTGAGGAGTTTATGTTTGGTGGTTTTATTGCAGTCTCATCTGTAGGCTCCTTTTTTACTTCTACTGTTGCTTCTTCTTGATTCGTCATCACGGTCTTTTTTATATACTTTTTACTTGTCTTCCCTGCTGTCTTCTCTTCTATGGGCTCATTCCTTGCCTCAATAGATGCTTCTATCACATTAGTTGCTCTTGTCATTATTTCCTCTATACCATAATCTGTTGTACTAGCTTCTTGGAGGCTTACTGTGATTTTCTTGCTTAATTGTGTAATGGACTTTCCCTGGTTTTCTTTTTCCACACACCATATGCTCTTTTCTGTTTTAACTTTATTTTGATTAAAACAAACCTATTCAAAAATCTCAGAGCTAATCTAATTATATATACTGTTCCAGAGTGAGCAATGCCCAGAAACTCTGTGACTTGTTTATCTCTTTCAAGAACCATACTGCAATGAGTTGCAAAAAATTCGACGATTTCACTTTCTGGTTTGTGAAAAAGCCCTTGAAATTTTTCGATCTGTTCCATCTTATTCAAGAATAGATTTATGTTCTAGTTCTTCACGTGAGTGGCTTGTTTCTGTGTACTTTGTACTACTTATTGTTTATTCTTTTTTAGTACGTGTTAATTAGTTGTTTCACGTGTTCTTCTGTTTACTGTGTGTCACGTATTGTTTGTTGTTGCAGTGAGATCTGCAAAACAAGGTCACGGCCGATTTCTCCAAAAATAAAAAATTTTTTTTTGAAATTTTTTGTCGAGTTAACAAAAAGCCAACTGTTTTCCTTTTGAGCGTTTAGCTAAGGGTTGGGTCTGTTAAGTTTAGTGCAACTTTTGGTGCTGCTTCTCTTTTTCTAGAGTTTGGAGACTTGTTTCCTAGTGCTCCTGGTTTACTATTTTGTGTTTTTCTTTAGCTCAGTTTTGGTATGAGGATCTGCAGGTGAGAGTTGATTGTATAGTTTATTGTTTAATCCTTACTAGTAAATAATTACATTTAATTTTAGTAATTACATTATATTATATATATTATTGGCTCAAATTTCATGTAATCCTATTATTTAATTTATCTAATCACAAAATTGAAGATTTTTATCTATATATTATCAGGAAATTTAATTCTCTAAATTTTTGAACTGGATTCACTAACATTTAATTACAGAAATTTTTATTAAAAATTTTATATATTGTTACAGGTTATTGGAGTCATGGTCACACCAACTAAAGAAGAAAAATGCAACAAATTGTCACTTCAAAAATGTTGACACCATGTAATGTTACTCAAGAGTAGGAGTGAGGCAGGTTTGATTTGGCAAGGTCTAAGACTACTTTGAGTCTTATTATGGGGTAAGTAGACTTATAAAACATTGGTTTTTACATGGTATTGAGGGCCTTTATTAATGGATTTTTATTTTTTATTTTATTTTATTTTTTTTGCTTTACTTTATTAAAAATGTTTTGTAGGGCATTTTTCTTCTTATCCTTTTTACAAAAGAATTTTATCTGTATTTATAAAAAATTATAGTGAAAATGAGAAGGAGAATTTAAATGCTTCTAATTCTATTTTTCTCACTGTTAAAGCCATTTTGCCCAATTTTGACTAATACTTACCCTACTTATACAACTCAGCCTTTGTTCCATTAGTGTTTTTCATTGAGTTTTACTTCTCAATGACACAATCAACACGCAACAATTGATGGCGCACTTACGCGGCCACACAACTTACCCGACAAGGTAATATTACCTTGACAGCTGTCAACCAATTCGGGTGGCTTTTCTCTATAGCATCGGCGTTACTAACCCAGTTGAGAAACTTGGATCCAACGGGTTTGTTGTAGGGAGATCGGCATTCGATTCTTCCTCATCACGGGCATAGTTGTACGACGTCACGGTTTGCCGCGTTGGTCTTGTAAGGCCTAGGGTCGGGTTTGCCTCTAACAATATAAAACTTTCAAAAATACACATAATATATGTAAAAATACTGTACGTTTTATAATTATTGAAATAATAGTAATTTATGTAGCCATTCAATTTTATAAAAAGGTATTTACAATATAAATTCGATAGATCTATTAAAAAAATTTATACTAGTTTAACTCTATTAAATTGTGCATGTTACAACTGGAGTAGCGTTGATTAATCTAAATTTGCGTATGTCATTTTCATTTTAATTATGCTAAACGTTTTTTATTGGTAAATACAATTAACCACAATATATTACAAACCATCAAACAAGTTTTGATAGAACTAAACATTTTCAATAGCACTCATAATGACTGAACATAGAAGAAATCAGACGACCATTCACAAGCCTTATAAAAAACTTCATATTTTTAAGGTATTTACATAAGGTATTTTTAATATACACACATATATATATTTGATTTTATACATCAATATCGAGTATCTCATAATACAAGCATGATAATGAATTAAGCATTTCTGTTAATGTTTGATCAGTTAGCATGTTAATATCATTTCTTACTTTTCCTTTTTCTGATACTGATGTAAATCGCAATCTCGAAGGATTGGTGTTAAGATGAGCAGCGACATGATTAGCGACCTATATTAATATATAACATAAAAACCATATTAGGCAATAATAAAAATGTAATAAGGGAATGAGTTATTTAGATAACGTACTGCATCATATGTCATGTTCTTATTTAAAATCAAACTAAATTCGGGTACAGAGTCTTTATACCCGCATTTTGACTTGAACTGAACGATAATACTCATACATAATGATTCATAAAATTGAGGGATACTGTAAATGCGGCCTGCAGAAACTTGTTCTTGAATCCTGAATTAAGTAAATTTCCTTTAGCATTTTTTTTTTGAAATTAATCTAAATAAGGATTTAAATGCTAATAGCGTACTCTTCATTTGTTAATACTTTTTGGAAACATATTATATCACCGTCTTGCATCTCAGACTTATTAAAAGTTAATTTAGGCTTCTTTTTTTCAATAATTTCTGGGCTAACTTCCTAGATATAAGTGGAAGAATTTATATATGTTTATATATTATTAAAATACCAAACAACAATAAATGTAAATCAACACACCTCATATACATCCAAAGGCGTATTTTGTTGCAATTGTTTTTTCTCACATAGTAAAGGGAAAATAGTATTAATCTTACTGCTTTTCTGAACACATAATTGACCAAGAGATCTGTTCAAATAAATAAAATTAACGTTAATTCTTTCAAAATAATGATTTTATTATACAAGTTTAACGTACTCTAATGACTGGGTAACCGGATTGAAACATTTAACGAAAATAATAATCTCTCCGGTTTGTATCGGCCTTTTCTGTTAGGAGTAGAAAATTAAACAGGTGTGAATTTATGTAATGGAGGCTAAATAATATTTATAAGTAATAACCTTGATGTTTATTGGGTTTTCCAATATTTCCATATATAATCTCAATTCAC